CTCTCACACACACTCTCTCACTCTCACACACACTCTCTCACTCTCACACACACTCTCTCACTCTCACACACACTCTCTCTCACTCTCACACACACACACCCTTTCACTCTCACACACACACACCCTCTCACTCTCACACACACACCCTCTCACACACACTCTCTCTCCACACACACACACTCTCACACACACACACTCTCACACACACACACTCTCACACACACACACTCTCACACACACACACTCTCACACACACACACTCTCACACACACACACTCTCACACACACACACTCTCACACACACACACTCTCACACACACACACTCTCACACACACACACTCTCACACACACACACTCTCACACACACACACTCTCACACACACACACTCTCACACACACACAGCTTTACATTAGATCATGTGTTTGACTCACATCCACCAGCCAGACGTCCTCCATCCTGCTGTCTTTAAACCTGAACAAGGAAGAAAAAACAAACAGGATCTGCATTTACTGGAGGAAACCTCAGCACAAGAAAAGCCCCAGAGGAGTGGACTACAGGAATACCGGCTGCTGACTGGACTAAATATGATTGAAACAATCTCACGGATCACATATTCAAAACAAACAACTAAATAATTCCATGAACTGAGCATGCATAGATTAAATAAGGAGTTTGAGGCTCGTGAAACACGACTGCGTTCTCTGAGGGGTTTGTGCTGTCTTCGTCCAAGAGATATTAATGCACGGATGACTCTTCTCCTTCGAGAGGCTGCGGGTTCGACTCCCGTGTGCTGCATTATTACAGCAGAACATGTCCAGCATCAGCTCGGTGCTCCTCTTCTTCAGCGTCTCGCAGAGCAATGCTTTCTCGTATCTGTCACTCATGAACATTGTACTTGCAGCATGTACTCTTGCACATACACGTTCATGATAATCAAGCAAAAATACTGACATTAATTGACATCCTTCAACTTTCACTCGAACAGAACAGCTTTTTGACAACATCTTTTAAACTCAGCACAGAAAAGAAAACTACTTGTCAAGTGATTTCACGAGGTTTAATCTAAACATGCCAGCACTGTAATCATGGGCTTGCTGTCAGAAGTAAGCATCGAAGCACACTCAGGTTTCTAAGAGCACTATGTGAGCATCAGTAAATGATGAACACACACAGGCCACTGCTTCATATTCAGACCTGCAGCTGGCAGATACTGTATGAATATGAATATGAATATGAATGATATGACCTGAGTCAAAGCATCGGGTCTTCACACTGAGCCGCAACTCTGTCGACCTTTCTCAAAATAGTGTACACATGATGACAATGAGCCCGAAGGAATATCTCACGTGTCATCGAGGTCCTGCACCAAAGCAACCGCGGAACTGAAGAGAAGAGAAGAGAAAGCTGCAAACACACAATCACAGCATCAGACGCCGATCTGCTTCATGATGCATGGCTGCTATAAAGAGGTGTAAAGAGCTGTGAAGAGTCAGTACCCGCTCCGAGCAGCGCCATGGCTCCGGATCAGAGGCGCAGCAGCAGGAAATGCGCACCGCAGCAGCGGCGCATGCGCAGAGACGCCATGCGCTCCAGTCAAAGCCGGAAGCTGCGTCCGACTCGCTCTCGTTCCCTATATAGTGGACGACACGCAGCACACTACATAGAGAAGGAAACGAGAGCATTCGGACACGGCCGTGAATAATTCGCGAAAGCTTCATATTCATAGAATGCAGTGGTCTGACTCCAAAACAACAACTTTCTCATTTATCCCACTTGAAAAAGTAATGTTTTAAACAATTGTAAACGTAAAAGGTGACAACATTGTAAGCACACATAATATTGAAACCCTTTGATCATTGCATTGTACTCTGTAACTCATTTTTTCTTCTTCTTTTGAATAGACTAACATTTCTCACTGTAAAACAAACAAGCAAACAAACAAAACTTTCTACTATCCCTAAAAGCATGTTTTTATTTTGTGAAGAAAAATACATACTTTTGAGAGTGTAGCAGACAAGTGTGCAAGTTTTGGGACAAATTAGGCCTACATCATCATAATTGGCCCGAATGCAATGATTGGATGTCCTGCCTGTCTGTCAGCTTATATTTGCATACCTCCGAGAGTTGGGGGCGTGGCTACTGTAGTAGGCGGAGCCAGAGGGTGTTTAGCGTGTGGAAAAAGAAATGAAGATTCTGTTACTAAAACACAAGCCATACACAGACAGACAACGGGGTGAAACAGGGATAAAGATTAGCAGTGTCTTTACAAGATGCAGGAATTTGATGGAATATTTGGGATTCAATTCGATGAACTTGCAGAGTTTTTTTCTCAATGGGTAAGCTAAACTTTAAAGAACTTTGTTTTTGTTGGAGCTTTTATTGAAAGTAGTGTAATTTTACCTGTTGAGACATGCTTTCACTTCTCTAGAGTAGTAAGAGCTGTTTGTGATGTTTGAGTTCGTAGTTGAGTACTTCAGCTTTAAAGTCCACATGAAATCAACATTTGCAATATTTATTTTATTAGCGCACATTGCTAGTCTTAAAGGGATAGTTCACCCAAAAATGAAAATTCGGTCATTAATTACTCACCCTCATGTTGTTCCAAACCTGTAAGTCCTTCATTCATCTTCAGAACACAAATTAAGTTATTTTTGATGAATTCTGAGAGCTCTCTGAGCCTCCATCGACAGCAAGGATCCTAACACGATCAAGGTCCAGAAATGTAGCAAAGACATCGTTAAAATAATCCATGTGACATAAGCGGTTCAACCTTAACTTAACGAAGCTGCGAGAATACTTTTTGTGTTCACAAAAGAAAACTGAAATAACGACTTTATTCAACAATTCGTCACCCTGGCACCATTTTGGAGAGTACCCACTGAACGTATACAGCATATGTAAGCTGCGTCACGTGGATACGTTGTTTTTGTTGACACAGAACAGCCTCTGTACTATATTGCTCTGTGTTGTATTGAAATGAAAAGCTTATGCATCATCTTGAAAATAAAGCTTCATGTCTTTAAGTCTGTACTGTAAATAGTCAGTGTTATTTCTCTGAATAAGATGTGTATGTAGGGGTGCCTCAGGGCTCAGTACTTGGACCACTTCTCTTCTCTGTCTACATGGCATCACTAGGTTCTGTCATTCAGAAACATGGCTTTTCATATCACTGCTATGCTGATGACACTCAACTCTACCTCTCATTCCATCCTGATGATACGACGATAGCTGCTCACATCTCAGCTTGTCTAACAGACATTTCTTGCTGGATGAAGGACCATCACCTTCAACTCAACCTTGCTAAGACAGAACTGCTTGTGGTTTCAACAAACCCATAACTTTATCAAAATTTCACCATCCAGTTAGGCTCATCAACCATAACTCCTTCAAAAACAGCCAGAAACCTTTGAGTTGTGATTGATGATCAGCTGACTTTCTCAGACCACATTGCTAAAACTGCCCAGTCCTACAGATTTGCTTTATTCAACATCAGGCCCTTTCTTTCAGAACATGCTTCACAACTCTTTGTTCAAGCTCTTGTTCTTGCTCTTGCTGGACTATTGCAATGCTCTCTTGGCAGGTCTTCCAGCCATTTCTATCAAACCTCTACAATTAATCCAGAACGCGGCTGCAAGATTAATCTTTAATGAGCCGAAAAGAACGCATGTCACACCTCTGTTCATCAATCTGCACTGGCTACCAGTAGCTGCTCGCATTAAATTCAAGGCATTAATGTTTGCCTACAAAACCAGCACTGGCTCTGCACCCCTTTACCTAAATTCATTACTTCAGAGTCATGTGCCTCTAGAAGCTTGCGTTCTGCAAGTGAACGGCGCTTTATTGTTCATCTCAAAGAGGCACAAAATCACTTTCACTGACTTTTACATTAACTGTTCCCTCCTGGTGGAGTGACCTGCCCAACTCAATCCCAGCAGCTGAGCCTTAACCATCTTCAAGATACGACTAAAAACACATCTGTTCCATCTTTATTTGACCCTCTAGCTCTAGCACTCTCTATCGGGGCGTCATGCACTCATTAATTTTGAGGGGGCACGAGTGGGGGAGGGGGTGGGCTCGTCATGATACACAGAAGCCACGATAGCACTGCATAACTGATATAGGCTTATGTTTTATTTATTTTTTACCTTTTCATTCGAAATATTCCCAAACGTGTTAAATATATCATGAAATATCTCGATTCTCAATTATGTGTAAGCAAATGCATTTTGCACATGTATAGATTATGTTAGTTGATCTATAATGGATTTTATTTATTAAGTGCTTATGTCACTGTTTAAGTGCACACATTTTCGCCAATCCAAATTAATTCAATCCGATTGCAGATTCTGAAAGTGTTGTTTATGTGTACTCTACACACTGAGGGTCGATTCAAATATTAATTTACATGTACATCACAGAGGTCCATATTGCAAATAAAACAAGTAGAAGTGCAGAGCGGTCACTTCAATCAGACAAAAGCAGGGAAAGCCACCATGGCCATGACATGCTCTAATAAGTGTTTTTGCCTCATGGACTCACATACAGCTATGCCAGAAAAGTTTTTCTTCTTCTTCTTTAATCCGAATGTTGCACACTTTACTCGGTCAGCAAAAAAACAAACAAATTAGAAGCAGTTTTCCAGCATCATGTCTGGCTTCATGCCGATTCCAGCTCCAATAATCCAGCCTCTGTGGATGAAGGTATGAAGACAAGACTGTTGGGAGAGAGTAGAGAGTTTTCAGATGTGGAATGGAGGCAAAATGTTTGAATAACACAACAGTCTTTCTTTATTTTTATTATGTTGTGCTTAATGTTATGAAATAATAGTACATTCTCTCAGTAATGCTCTTTGTATAAATTAGGTTCTTGCAGTGAGTATCATGTGATTTACAATCAATCTGGAATCCACAAAAAGCACTGTGAAAAAGTTTGGTTAAAATCGTTTTTTTTTTATATGTATAGCACTATGTGTGTACTCATAGCACTCCGTACTTTACTGGTGATAATTGAGATGACTCCCCATTTAAATGAACAATGTGGTAGCGATCGGACAGGTAGGATCTAAACCATCTTAAAGCCTGCCCTTGGATACCTGTATAGTTTTGTAATCGATCTATGAGTATGTCATGATCTATAGTATCGAATGCAGCACTAAGATCAAGTAAAACTAGCAATGAGACACAGCCTTGGTCTGACGCAAGAAGCAAGTCATTTGTAATTTTAACAAGTGCAGTTTCTGTGCTATGGTGGGGCCTAAAACCTGACTGAAATTCTTCATAGAGATCATTTTTTGCAGGAAGGAGCACAATTGAGCAGACACAACTTTTAAAATTTTAGACATAAAAGGAAGATTTGAGATGGGTCTGTAATTAGCCAGTTCACTAGGATCTAGTTGTGGTTTCTTAATAAGAGGCTTAATGACCGCCAGCTTGAATGTTTTTGGGACGTGACCTAAAGACAACGACGAGTTAATAATATTAAGAAACGGTTCTTCTGCTACAGGTAACAACTCTTTCAATAATTTAGTGGGCACAGGATCTAACAGGCATGTTGTTGGTTTAGATGCAGTAATAAGTTTATTTAGCTCTTCCTGTCCTATAGCTGTAAAGCACTGCAGTTTATCTTTTGGTGCGATGAATGAAGCTAAAGTATTATACGCTGTAGAATCTACATTTGTTATTGTATTTCTGATGTTATCTATTTTATCAGTGAAGAAATTCATAAAGTCATTACTATTAAACATTATTTGTGGATGAGTGTTTTTGTAAAGTGTTGAATGTGACAAATGTCTAAAAGCAGGTCAAATATAAAAATGTGATTTTGGTTGGAATACGAAAAACCCGAGGCTTTACAGGCCTTTAAAGTTCGGCAGTTAAAGAGTAATGACTTAAATGTTTAACCCAGTCAGGTTTCTAATTTGTCCATGTCGTGTTAATTTGTCTAATTTCTGAAATAAATGTGTGTTGTATAACAGCTTTTTTATGTAAAGCTGTGAAATCTGCATGCAGTGTGAAGAGTGAGCTGATAGTTTGTGTTAATAGTGATGTGCACTAGAGGGCAGCAGTGTTCTTCCAACCTCACTGCTGACAGACGAGCACCTCTAACACATTCATCTCAGAAGGAGCTTTATTAATATCAGAATCAGAAGTGTGTGCAAACACGCAAGGAATTTGTTGCAGTTTCCAGCAGCTCTGGGTGCATATACAGTATACATATATAACACAAGAGTATAAAAAGAGCATTTTAATAAAAGTAAGAAAAATAAATCAATTAAAACCAATTAAGTAATATACTGTATATTAAGATCAGTAGGTTTATGTACAGACGTGTGCATTTATGTACCGTCTGTAATACATTAACAAGGAGCAGTTCATTGTTTTCTCTCTTTCCTCTTTTATTGCTCCTTTCTTTTTCTTTTTGGTAATTTATTTTGATTCATTGTTCTGCTGAGCCCCATTTGTGACTCCAAGAATTTAGAAAAAGAGGTAAAAGGTAGAATAACCGTAAACCATCATGACTTTATGTACAGTGAGAGCAGCATCTCCCTCATTATGAGCATCTGATATGTGGCGTGTCTCATGT